CTGTGTTAGGGGTCATGTCCTCTGGCACCTGGACCACGTAGCGCTTTTCACTGAACTGAGGAGCGTTATCGTTATCATCTTCTACCACAATGTGAACAGTAGCTGTGGCGCTGCGGGGCCCGGGGTCTCGACCTTGGTCATTCGCCTCAACTAACAGCATATAGGCTTCCACCTCTTCTCTGTCCACCAGCCCCTTAGTGCGAATTACGCCAGACCTGGAATCAATCTCAAACACATCATTGGACCCATTATTGTTGAGGATGTTATATAGGATGTTCCCATTAATGGGGGCATCTCCGTCTGTCGCCCTCACTGTTAACACCTCATAGCCTATTTCTAAGTTCTCCCTGATACTTTCCTTATAGTCCTGTTGCTCAAACACAGGGCTGTGATCGTTAGTGTCTCTGACTGTGATAGTGAGTGTGGCCATGGCTGTGCGTCGGGGTGTGCCGTGGTCCACTGCGGTCACACGAAACACATGGGTGTCTTTTGTTTCCCGGTCCAGCACTTCTACTGTAGACACAGCACCGCTGGACGGGTCCACAGCAAAAAGATGGTTCGAGCGGCTGTCAAAGAGAGCTTCAATAAAATACTCCAGCCTGCCTGCCTCGCCTTCATCCACATCCACTGCTTTCAAAACAACAACAGGAGTCCCGGCGGGCTTATTCTCTGCCACAGACACTTGATACATTGGTGGCTGAAACTGGGGACTGTTGTTGATGCTTCTTCTACTCCTCCTGCTTAAAATCCCTGAATAAGACTGAGCTGCCCTTTGTAACAGCTTCTCTATGTGGCCCTGCCTAAAGGGGCCCTCTCCCACACGCCAGTGGATAAAGATGGGGCTGACTTGAACATTCAGCCCACTCCCTGTGAGTACATCACAGAGGACGTCCAGCTCCAGGAGAGTGTCCTGCCTCCAGCACAGCTTCTCAGACACAAACAAGTTCCCTTCGTTGAAATAAAATTCACGGCTGTTGGTGACTTTGCAGCGGATCGGAGGGCCAGGCAATAGACCTCCCACTGGGAATAGAGCAGAATCTGCTCGGTGGCACTCTAAGCTGTGATGGCTGTGGGTACTGAACAAAGTGAGGACCTCCATGTCCCACTGAGGTTTTCTTTTACGCGTGTTTGAACAGTTTCTACCGTGTACATGCACCTGGTACTGGCTGGTGAGGAGGTGCCTGTAGCCGGAGTCCGCGCAGTCCTCCACGGTGTACAAGGTGAAGGGGTTTGAGCGCAGCGAGGGGCACTTTATGGAGCCCGAAACAAACACGACGCCCGCTGCCGCGTCAGTCTCCAGGAACCCCTCGGTGAATTTTGGAGCCAGCACCTGATCCAGATTGCACCGCGCGCCCCGCTCCGCGCCGGCCACCACCGCGCTCGCTCCGGCATCCTCACCGATGTGAACAACGTAACAGCGGATCAGTGGGATCAGTTTACAACAGCAGAGTAACAGCAACAAATCCCATTTAACGAAGTGCATCGCTCCTCAGTTTGTGCGCCCGTGTGGCGAATTCTGCGGCTCCTAATTTCTTTAAACTTTCCACCGGTAAGTTTCCCTTTGTTGAAGAAGAGCCATGCTCTCAGCGGGCGCACTCCTCTCCGCTCACTCCGGCTGACGTTTTTAAGAGGTTAACCCGCAGTAACCTTGGCCGGAGCTGCTCTCACATCCACACAAACGCACACACACACACTCACACACGCCGGCTACAGCAGCAGCAGCAGCAAAACCTCCGCTCCGTCCGCGCAACTCAGCTTCAATGAGAAAAATGGCTCCTGCTCCCCCCCAGTGTCTCCAGGCTCCTCATTATAATAAACCTGTGTGTGTGTGAGAGAGAAAGAGAGAGAGAGTGAGAGAGAAGCTCTATAGGGGTCTGAGGACTTGACAGAAAGCCTGCCACTGGAGATAAATTGAAGCTTCCCATAAGCGTCATTAATTAACGCAGAACAACAGCAGCAATTCAGAGTCGGATTAAGGAGTCCATTAGACAACATTCAGTTCATTAGTATAGTATTAATGCTGCACTCACTAATAACGACCAAGAAGAACCGTTTTGATCACGCCCAATACCCACCACTCACCTCCGAAATGGTTTGGCTCATTAACCGGTCGGAATTCCTTAAATTGTGGGTTTTGGCTGACCTTGTTTCAACCCAAGATAAGTTGCATTCTCGGGCTCGTGTTAAAAAGAGGAGGATTACATTTCAGCTACATTCAAGTTATCTTTGTTTAGCGGCTGTTTTCTTCAGATCCACTAATTCCCGTGCTTTGTTTTCCCGAAGGCTTCATTCACCTGCTCTTACTTAAAGAGCAGTAAAAGCAACATCCGAATACCAGTAGAAACACCCGAATCACAAGAGGCATTCGTGCAGATAGGCTCCAGAAGTTAGGAACTTTTCAATTTACTCAAATATTCAGAGCAACACATATTAATCTAAAGCGATGATAACGATATTCAGTTTGGGTGCGGAGCAGCAAGGCGCAACTTTGGACTGAAACTCTGCGCTTCGCTGATGTTCTGAGTGCGCCTGACACCTGCTGGGCAAACTGCAGCCACACAGCCAAGAGAGGATCCTCCTGCAAGCTCGCTCAAAACTGCTCATGTTCATGTCTGCTTGTTGCTTCAGTGAATGAACATGTAAAAAATAAATAAATCCGTTTTGACACAGCAGCATAAATAATGAAATGACAGCATGATGGGAAGTGTCTCAGCACAATGTCCATGCAGTTTTCTAAAACCCTTTTGGACTTTTTGTAGACAAACAGCAACGAAAATAGTGTTTATAAAAGATGGCACACTAAATCTGGCCAATTCCATAATCTAAAGATTATGCCTGTTTCAGCGGCACCATCACACTTTAATGTCTGTTGACCAGTTGCCCTGACATCTCATGTGGTGAAGTCTTGGTTTCGTATCTCTCTGCAATTTGCATACCAACCAAATCTGACAGCGGATGATGCAGAGCTCATTCTCAGAAGTGAATGTCCTGCGAGGACCAAGCTCTCCTACAGTGCCTTCACCATCTTCAGACTGCTGCTATTGAGGGAGACACTACAAGCGATGACTGAGCAGTCCTCTGTCTTATGTTGATGGGTAGTAGTGGGAAGCATAACCGATGGGCTAAAGGAGGAGTACAGAGCACTAGAGGATGATTTTGTTGGCTAGTCTGAGAGAAATCTAAATGTAAACAACACTAAAGAGATGGTTGTTGTTTTTCAGAAGAAAGAGGGTGGCGGAACACCCATGTCTATCCTGGGACAGGATGTTGACGCTGTGGAGGTGGACAAATACCTGAGCGACCAGCACAGATGGTGACCAACAGGCTCCGTGTGTCGTAAGGACAATGACATCCTTCAGTGTGTGCAGCAAAATGTTGGAGATCTTCATTCAAAACTCAGCTGTGGTGAGCTTCCAAAGAGCTGACACAATTAGACTGGTCTGTGATTGGCTACAAACCTGTCACTTTTGAAGGTGTGGCGGAGACAAGGTCCCTGATCAAGGGGGTATCAATCGTTCCTTTGCATCAAAGCAGATCCAGGCAGAGGGCTAAAACAATGATTGGGATCAGGAATATGAATCCAACTCATGCTACATTGCACTCAAACTTGACTGCTAATTTTACAAGCTAAACCATTTTAGGCCATCACAAGATCGGATTTTACAGGATGATACTGTATGTTTTTACAGGACAAGGCTGTAAAAACAATGACACTGCTACAATAAATACTCAAACAGTTTGGTATTATTTTTAGCAGATGAAGTTAAACAACTTCAACTATAAGCTACATACCAAAAATCATAAAATGCTTTTAGCCCATCAGTGCTAATAGCTTCTCGATATTAATTAATGATTGCATTAGCAACAATCAAGCTAACTTTACCCCTGTTCGCAGACCTACACTTTCAATCTCACACACACGTGCTTTATCTCACGTTGGTGAAGACACACTCCGATGGATACACTGGGGGCAATCTGGGGTCCCCAACGACACTTTGATACATTTTACACGTAGACTGGAATAGCTGTGAAATGATCCTCCAACCGATGCACCACCTGAGCCACAGCTACCCAACCATCACATTCATACAAAAGGAATGAAATTAAAACAAGCAAGTAGCTTTTTACAATTTTTATTGTTGCTGGAGGCTCTAATACAATATGAGTCATAAGCTTTACAAAATAAAAACAAACAAAAAAAATACAACAAAGATTCCCCTCCAAAATGGAAACAAAGGTTTCCACTGTGACACCAAGACAAACTGTGACCCCCAACAAAGACATAATAGGTGAGGATAGAGAAGACGTTAACAGGCTGAACAAAGGGGAAGCAAACTGTCATGTTATACAGTGTGTGTGTGTGTGTGAGGGGAGTTGATTATGACGAGGGTGTACCCGGTGATAATAACAGTCCATCCCTATGTTTGAGAAGTTTTCATTTCCACCCTCTGCAGCTCCACAAAGGCTGTCATGCATGTGGACAGAGTGGAAATAAAGTGTAAAAACGTTCTTGCTCACACAGAAAGGCCGCCCTCGTCTGTGCACCGTTTATATCGCCCAGAAGAATAACCACTCGTTATACATGGACAGTTTTAATTCTATACAAATATATTTGGGTTTGGGTCGGGGGGGGGGTCATAGGAAAAAAAAAAAAGATAGATGCAAGAATATAATTTGAACATGAACATAATAATGACACCACTGCCAAGCCTCCACCACCTACTGCACAGTCTGTGTCCTCATCACAGAGGACGAGCAGGGCCAGAGTCGCTCGTTACAAATCGACTGAGGACATATCAGCTGTGAGAACATCAGGGATTATTATTAGAGTGACCCTTGAGATTATCATTAACCGTGGTAATACTATCATATTCATAACATGGGGGGGGG